GCCTGCAGCAGTTTCTGGCTGGCTCCAGAGGCAGGGCTCCCTGGTGAAGCCAGAAAATGTGGCTTTAGGCCTGTCGGGACTTTCTGTATATGTGTCGTGGTGCTGGGATGGAACCCAGGGGTGGCTCTACCACTGAGCCACATTTCCAGTCCTTTTTATTTTGTTTTGAGACAGGGTCTCACTAAGTTGCTTGAACTTTGGATCCTCCTTCCTCAGCCTCCAGAATTGCTGGGATGTTGGCGTGTGCCACTGCACCTGGCTACTTCAGAGTCTCTCATCCAGACAACAAGAAAGTCGACCACAGGGAGCAGACAGACGAAGGTTGTCAGTGTCCACGTTGACATGGTGGTGCAGGGACATGCGTGGCCCAGTCCACTCCTACTGTCTGACGTCTTTCATTCCTTCACCCCTTGACTTCTGTGCACCCCCTCCACACCAGGCGCAGCTCCGGGCTGCAAGGGGAAGAGCCCGCAGCAGAGTCAGTCTGCTGGTGGAAGCTTCCGGTGCAGGGAGAGAAGCACAGTCAGCCCCCCACTCATAGGAGGACTGCAGCTGGGGCAGGTGGAGACAGAAGGCCAGCACAGACAGAATCCCTGGTGCCCTGTGGGAGTGGGACGAGATGAAGGGCCAGAAGGGAGCAGACCTGGCGTGGGCGGGGGCCGTGGTGCCCAACGATGCCCGCAGTCCCTCCTCTGACGTCCTTGCAGTGGCCCTGCTCTCTCTGCCTCTCCTAGTGCTGCCCATCCCTCACGGAGCTAGGTGGGCATGGTTCCTCAACTCTTGGTTGCAAAAATAACAGTTGCTTATTATGGGATAGGTAGGATGTAGGCATCAGGAGGGAGGCTGGCACAGCTCTCTACAGTGGAGAGATCCATCTGTCTGAACCCTCAGGCCACCTTCCGTAGGGCAGCTGCTGATGGCCATGGAATATGTGCCTGTGGCTTTGTGACCGCTTCCTGAAAGGACACACAGTCCAGGTGAATTGCCTGACGCCTGCCTGCCAAGTGACCATCCCAGCTCCTGGGCACCCTCCTCCCTGGGTGAGGGCTGCTCCACCCACTGCACCCAAGTGTGCTCCCAACACTGGTGTCCAGCAGAGTCTGTCAGAAATGTTGCTCTCCAGCCAGGCACCGTGGTGCTCACTCCTGATCCCCACAACTTGGGAGCCTGAGGCAGGAGGATCACAAGTTCAAGGCCAGCCTTAGCAACTTAGCAAGAAGAGCCTGTCTCAAAAATAGTAAAGCGCTGGACAGGTAGCTCAGTAGTAGAGCTCCCCCGGGTTCAACCCTAGTACCTCAAAAAAAGAAATGTGGATCTCAGACCCCAACCCATTTCAACAAGATCCCAGAAGCTCTGGTGCCAAATCCACTCAGACCACATCCTCTGGTTAGGGGCCTTTCTGACTACACACATGCACACACACACACTCCGTCTGCAGAAGCAGGCCCCTCCCACACTGAATCGCATCACCATACAGGATGCCAGCTGCGTGCCAAAGAGCCTGTGTGGACCAGCCCAGAATTCAGGGTTCCTGGAGACCCGCAGAGGCTATGAGAGTGTGAACTTTATCATCAAAGGATTGTGGTGATGCTTTTGGAAAGAGACTGCCGTGTGCAAATTGGAGTGAGAAGGACAGGGTGCTGAGCAGGATGTTGCAATTGCCAGGTGTCAGAGGGTGGAGCTGAGGGGCGGAAGTGGTCCTTGGAATGTGGACTGTGTGCCTCTTGTACTTCCCATCACGTTCCAAATCCATTCTGTGCATCTGTTTAGCAACCAAGATTTGTACCTGTCAAGGCTCAGGTATGGGACCAGCCAGCACTAGGAGGGCCTGCTGGGTGCTGTGGCCCTGGGGCCCTTCAAGGTCCCATTTGCCTGCCTGCTCCTCTCTAAGGCCTCTGCTCCAGTGCAGTCATCCATACATGGCCTGACCCCAGAAGGGCTCAGGAGGTGTGTGCAGGTGGCACGGGGTGGGCCAGGTGCTTGAGGCTGGACAGTTGGTGCAGCTTTTGAAAGAAATAAAGGATTTTTGAGTGGCAGCTGGTAAGCAGAGATCTCCTCATTAGGTGTTCTGCCTTCCTCACGATGAGGGCAACATGCAGTTGTGGACAGACAGAAGTGGGGAAGAAAGGTCTGGCCGGAAGCGAGGTCGTGATTTAGTCCCAGCTAGAGCTGACCTTCCTGCAGGGGCTGGGGATGGAGTCACTGCCTCTGGGGCTTCCTGTTCAGGTCTCCTGTGGGTCCCAGGAGCCTTTGGGAGATTCTGCTGCCCCCCAGTACTCACCCCTGTATTTAGACAGGATGTGTTGGTGGCTGGATCCTGCGCCTGAGCCTCCCATCCCTCTGCATGTCTCTGTGAAGTGGGGACATGGACTAGTGCAGGATAGCTGAGAGGTGGCTCTGCCCCCATAGCTGCAGGCCCCTGCTCCTCAGTGTGCACACGGGTGGTGTGGACTCGGGAACATGTGGCATCCTGTTCGCTTCATCGAGAGAGCTGGACAGGGAAGGTTTCATTCAGGTCTCAGGGTAGAGTGCACAGGATTCTCAGGGCCACAGGTGTTCTCCACCCTCTTATTTTGGACAGGTCTGAGCTAACTTTCCTTTTTTGGAAACCACGTTTTTCCTTTCCTCCAAGGAAACCTTGTTTCACAGGTAGGAGAGACATGGAGAGGCAAGTCTGTCTTGTGAGAGGAGTCCTGGCTGGTGGCCCCAGGAGCCTGGGGATGCTGAGCCCCGAGGGGTCTGGGATAAGCAACCGGGTGGACCTGGCAGCACAGAGCTGGCCAGAGGGGCAGTGGTGGGGGAAGGGACGCGAGCTCTGGGTATGAGGTGCCACCTGCTGTTACATTCTCATTTCAGATCATCAGGAAAGCCTTGACGGAGGAGAAACGAGTCTCAACAAAAACATCAGCCGTGGATCTTGTGACAGAGACGGATCACCTCGTGGAAAATTTGATTATTTCTGAGTTGCGAAAGCGGTTTCCTTCCCACAGGTGAGCGTTTTCCTCGGGGGACACACCCGGCACACTCAGCCAGGCCCATCTGGAGGTGCTGCTGTCACTGCCCAGTGGACATGAAACCCCTGGCCGCAGTCTGTCCTGGGCCCTGCGGAGTAGGGGAGTGAGCCCACCTGTTTTCCTGCTTATCGCGGTAACCTCGTGTCCCCAGATCAAAGACAGAAGGTGCTACTCTTAAGCGCACATGCTTCACTCGGGAGGTGCCTGGCGCGTCCACTAAGCTACCCCTGTTTCCAGAGGCATGGCCAAGCCTGACCCAGAGAGTCCGGGAGCAGGGACATCCCTGGCAGCTGTGCCTACCCTGCCTCCAAAGGAGGACGGGACACGGCAGACGTCAGCCACACAGGACCCGGTTCCATCGCCAGTATATAGTGACACGGGTTCCCCTCACCCAGACCAAAGCACATGGGGACACGGGCGCTCTGTCCCCCAGGTCTTTGTAAGGACACAGTTCTCATGATGGCTAAAGAATTTAGCCAGAGTTTGCTTGTATTCTTTGAGAGGAAGGTACTGCAGCCACCAGCCAGCTACGTCTAGGACTGTATCAGTGTCACCCTGGAGGTTGCTGCGGCCTCAGTCGTGTGTCAGACGGGACGGCAAGGGCCAGCTCCTCCATCCAGGAAGAGGTGTCGCCAGCAGGGCTGGCATGGGTAGGGCCTCGTGAGGTCGCCCCCGGGGTGCCAGGCGGTGTAGCAGGTGCTGCAGGTTTGCTGTGCGGTCCTGGAAACGTGGGAGCCCGCCAGGTGAGCCCCGGGAGTCCGCCATCGGTCTGCGCGAGCATGCGTTGCTGTGCACGCAGGTGGACATGCGTCTCCATCCGCGGGGCCCCTGGACGCTGAAGCCCCTCCGAGTGGAGGATGGTAGAGAGGGCGTGTGGGGCTCCCCGGAAGTGTCTCCATCAGACTCACCCAGCCTCGGTCGGGGTGAGTCGGATGCCTTCACTTGTCCAGGAACTGTGGGTCCCAAAGTGCAGTCCATGGTCAGCACTGCCCCGTACCTCCAAGGTCCCTTGCCACACCCTTCTTCCTGGGCTCTGAGGGCCAGTGCTGATGCTCAGTTTATTTCAAAAATTCAAATTAAGGGGCTGGGGATGTGGCTCAAGCGGTAGCGCGCTCGCCTGGCATGCGTGCGGCCCGGGTTCGATCCTCAGCACCACATACCAACAAAGATGTTGTGTCCGCCGAAAACTAAAAAATAAATATTAAAAATTCTCTCTCTCTCTCTCTCTCTCTCTCTGTCTCTCTCTCTCTCAAAAAAAAAGAAAAAGAAAAAAATTCAAATTAAGTAAAATGATTTTTAGCATATCTAAGAGGTTTTTTGTTTATTTTGTTTTGTTTTTGTACCAGGGATTGAACCCATGGGTACTCAGCCTCATCCCCATTCCTTTTTATTTTTTATTTTAAGACAGGTCTCACTGAGTTGCTTAGGGCCTTGCTAAATTATAGACTGGCGCTGGCTTTAAATTTTCGATCCTCCTACCTCAGCGTCCCTAGTCACTGGGATTACAGGCGTGTGCCACAGCACCACAAGATTTTTATTATTTATTTATTTATTAATATTTATTTTTTAGTTCTCGGGGGACACAACATCTTTGTTGGTATGTGGTGCTGAGGATCGAACCCGGGCCGCACGCATGCCAGGCCAGTGCCCTACGCTTGAGCCACATCCCCAGCCCTTTTTTTTTTAAAAAAAAAAAAAAAACCGGGGTTAAGACATGGTGCTCTACTACTGAGCTATGTCCTCAGCTCTTTTGTTTTTATTTTGAGACACGGTCTCACAGAGTTGTTGAGCCTGGCTTTGAACTTGCTATCCTGCCTCAGCCTCGCAAGTTGCTGGGATTACAGGCATGTTCCACTGAACCCTATAACTACGATTTTCTTTTAAATACCAGAGTAGCTGGGTATGGTGACACATGCCTGTAATCCCTGTGACTCAGGAGGCTGAGGTAGGAGGATCTGGAGTTTGAGGCAATCTGAGCAACTTAATGAGACCCTGTCTCAAAATGAAAAATAAAAATTGCTGAGGGTATAACTCAGTGGTACAGCACTGCCAGGTTCAATCCCACATAGTACAAACAAAAACAACAATAAAAATAACAAAATGCGAATTGAATTGTTTTAGACCATAGGCCAGTTGATATATTTGCAATGAGGGAAAAATGCATATTATAAGTAAGGTGTTGTTATTTTTCTGCTTTCAAGAACTTAAATAACATCCCTGAAGCAATATGGTAGTGTAAGGTTGCCTGTCATCCTTTCTTAGGAAGGACTGGCAGTCTGAGCTTTGATCCTTCCTCATTTCTAGTCTTTTGTGAAACATTATTGAAGATTTATTGCAACTTTCTTGTTTTTAATAAAATAAAAGAGAACCTGGAGGTTCCTGGAAGTTTTATCATTTTATTTGACTCATCTGTGAAATTTTGAAATCTTGGGTCCCTGACCTGGAAGACGAGTGCACACCCACTCAGAGAACAAGAAGGTTCCAACTCGCCTGTGCCGTCAGCCCCAGCAGCTCCGACCAGTCACTGCGCTTCTCAGGGCCCTGAATTCCTCACCTGTGAAGGAGGAACTGACCCAGGTTGTCCCTGAGGTGCGGTGGCACCCTTTGACACACCATGGTGATGGCAGAGGTAAGCCTGCAGAGCACAGCCAGGAAGCAGCTGGGTCTCTGGAGATACCGGTGACATTGACCTCGCTAGCAAATCTCAGGCTCGCCCTGGCTTTGTTGGGACCCCTGAGCCTGCTTTTGGTCTGTGATTTGGGGTGAGAGCCAAGCATGGCTGCTTTGCAGACATACTTTTTGTGGGTTGGGCTTTTTGTTCTTTTTCAGGACTGGGATTGAACCCAGGGCCTGGTGCTTGCTGTGCAAGTGTAGCTCCTTTGAGATATCCGGTAGCCACGTGGACCTGTTACTGGTGATAACACTGCTGTAACCGTGACATCGTCCCCTCCTGAGAGCTGGTCCAAAGTCACCAGGTAGGTGGCTCAAGTGGAGGAAGAAAATGGAGGCTCAGACTGCCCTGCCTGGCCAGCACCTTCTTTGCCTCTTGCAGGGGCATGCACCCTGAGCTCTGCAGAGTCCCAGCACAGTGCCATGTCCACTGAAGGCACGTGTCAGGCAGAACGACTGATAGTCCTCCACATGGAGAAGACGGATCCCCACCACCAGCACCTGGACGTCACTTCCTGTCGTTCCCATATGCTCTACCCTGGGCTCTCATGTTATCCCTGGGTCAGAGCAGAACCAGGCTGCAGCTTGAGAAGATGTGGTTGAGGAGCATCGGTTAGCTCTGCAGTGGATGGAGACCATGCTGACCCTCCTGTCACAGAGGGACACTCTTGAGAAGCCAGGGAACAAGACACTCTTAGAAGCACTCGGCTGTCAAAATCACAAGGAAGGTTTTGTTATGACTATTGGAAAAAGCAGGCCAGTATTTAAACTGGGCTGCAGCAATTGTGGCTGTAATTGTAACCAGCCTTCCAACGCTGCTTGGTGCTCCTCTCCTGTCTGTCAGACGGGCTTTCCAGAGGGTCTCTGAGCTCCCTAAGTGAAGTCATGTGCATTGGTTCTGTTACATGGAGGTCCTGGCGGCTTCTAAGAAGGTGTCTCATGTCACACATCTTTCGAGAGCAGACTCTCCCAAGTCCTGCAGAGAGTGGTAGAACGTTTTTTCCCATCCATAGACATTTGCTTTTATGAAGAAAGTCAGGGTTAAGTAAATAAAATTCCACTTCTTCCCGCACCTGCTGTGGCTGCCATGGAAGTATTCTGGTGCCTTCAGAGACGGGATGCAGCCATTGTTGCTATCAGCACTAGGAGCCGAAGCCAGGCTGCTGCACCCCTCCTGGGAGGCCAGTAGGGAGGCGAGGGGGCTTACGAGTAGAGTGGACAACAGGTGAGCAGAGGGGGACTTGAGGGCTGAATGATTGACTCCTGGAAAAGCCCAGGGCTCAGGTGGGTACCTCTAGTGCTCCATCAAGTGCAGAGTGGAGCATGGTTAGCAGGCGTGCAGTGGGCCCCGGCTGGGGTTCTGTACATGGGCTTGCAAGGGGACAGACAGGCCTCCTGGTGTCCTGAGATGTGCAGGGTGCCCAGGGCTGCCCAGGCAGTCCGATGCAGGGCAGACACTGTTGTACGTAGACACGCACACCCTCCTTCAGGGGCCAGCAGTTTCCTCTCCAGTCTCCTACTTGAGATCAACTTGGAAAGAAAAAGAAGCCGGCACCCTCCCACTTCCTGGGAACTTGTGTATGTGAGTCTTTCCTGCTCCCTCTTCTCTTGAGCCATGTCTCTGTTGCTTTTGTCACCCTCCGTCACCCTTGTGCCCAGTTTAAGCTTTAGCATTCACTCCTTGTGTGTGTGTTTTTAGGGTGTGGACCGTTTTCTTTATAATCATAATTATAAGCCACTCCAGGAAAGGGAAATCACGCAGCAGCAGCAGCAGGAGTCTTTGGCTGAGGGAGGTGGCAGAGTGGATGCCACCTACACAGTCCCTGCCTGAGATCCTTCTCAGCTCTGCTCCTGCCTGTTCCCTTCGCTCAGGCATGCAGGCTCCTGCACCAGCCCCACCCTGCCATCGTTCCATCTAGACCTGTCTGGGGATACCAGTCCCTGGCCATGGGCTCTGGTGGGTGCACCCACACCTGGGCCAGAGGCAGTGGCAGGATGGGAGGGCTCACCTCCCAGGTAGAGGGGCATGTGATGCCCACAGGAAGCTCGGAGCCCGAGCCCCAGGGGAAGACCATGCCAGCTGTGTTACCTAGCTTGGTGTTCATGTCCCCATGCCTTGCCTGCTCACTGCGGATTTCCCCAGAGGCCCAGAGGGATGGTGGACACAGCCAGCTGAGGTGACGTGTGTGTCCACGGGTTACTGTCAGATGCTCTATACAAAGGGGGCCAGGGTGCAGTGTGTACAGAGCATGAACTTGGTGCCTGTGAAAGGGTGATGCCAGCCCTGGAGCTGCAGGGGCCTGGAACGTTGCAGTGTGTGTGAACAGAAGTGATGTGAGAACACAGGCAGGTTGCCCTTGTCTCAGGCGCTGCCGCTGAGCACAGCCCTGGCAGACGCGGGCTCTGTTGGCATTACTTACTGTGACAGTTGCTGTGTCTACCGAGCACTTGAAACGCTGCTGGTGAGAACTGAATTAAAGAATGGAATTTTTTTTTTTTTTTAAGTGGTGCTTCATACCTGGTAAGTAAGTGCTCTACCAGGAGCCACATCCCAGCCCTTTAGTTTTAATTTAAATTCAAACAGCCCCCTGTGGTGAATGACTGAGGACTGGGTGGAGCAGCCACTACAATGGCATCCTGTGCATCTTGTCTGCAAGCTCACTGTGGCCAGACCTTAGGGCACAGGTTCCTTGGGGAAAGTGACTTCCTCCAGAGCCCAGTAGCCTGCTGGGTAGAGCGCCAGATGCCAGCAGTCCATGAGAAGCTTCTTACTCCTTTTCTCTCTTTGTAAAAATGTTTTGTCGGCAGTGCTCTTTCTCTGATGGTGAGGTGGACAAGGCCTGAGAACCTACTAGAAAACAGCAGGGCTCTGCATTTCCATACAGACCCAGTGTGTGCTGGTTCCTGCCTTGACCACAGCCTGGCACCAGGGCCCCGCCCTCAGCGCACTTGGACAGTCTGGACATGCCCCTGCATGCCCAGTGCCAGGCTGCCTCGTGTGCAGCGGGACACCTCTGGGAGCTTCAGCAAGTGCCAGAGGCTGTGCCGTGAGGCAGACCCCTGCTGGAGGAAGGTCACCGCGGGGAGGGTGGACAGAGGGGAGCAGGAAGGGTGAGGACTTCTCAGTGTCTGGACCGAGCAGCTGGGTGCCATTGGAGAAAGCTGAGTTTCTTTTGGTGTCCGTTGACCCTGAGGTCTCGATTTTCCTGTTGGGTTCCTTCCCTTGTGAGGACAGCTTAGGGGCCTCATTGACAGAGGGTCTCAGTACCCTGGCCCACTGCAGGAGGCTGGAGCAGGCGGCCATGTCCCTGAAGAAGGAGTATTGGAGGGCATTTGGAGTAGGGGGACCTTGCTGGGCACCTCATGACAGCAGGCAACAGGTGTCCTGGTAACCGCACCCTTGCCAGCTTCACTTGCTTTCTGGAGGCCAGGGAGGGGAGAGTGGGGAAGGTATCTGGGTGAGCCAGGAGGTGCAGGCCTGCAGAGCTGGATGGCAAGGACGGTTGTCACCTGTGCCCCAAGGCACAGCAATGCCAGAAGGAAAGCGGCAGCTGGAGGCCTGGGCCCGGCCCTGCAGGCCAGCACCTCTCGGTCTCCCATCTCCCTCACAGGCCTGCTCTTTCTAGACTCAAGTGAACACAGTTGAGCGTCTGCTGTGGGAGGCCTGACGCCAGGTCCTCACTGTCAGCAGGTCTGCTGGGCTCTTGACAGCTCCCCTGCTGAGGTCAGTCTGGTGGTGTCTGGTGTGTGATTTGCAGCACTGGGCCCTGAACACAAGCTCTGCCACTGAGCCTCACCCCCTGACCCTCACCCCAGCCCTGTTGCTCTCAGTCCCACTGAGTCAGCAACTGACCGGTCTTTTAAAGGCTCTGCCTCCATTTGACCCTGAAAAACCCTCATGAAATCGAATAAGCCCTCTTTCTTCTAACAGAACTGGAAGCAGTCTGACGCCTGTCACTTGGCCTTTTTGGCATATTTTCTCAGGCTGTGCTCCCCAACCGCAGGTTCATTGCAGAAGAAGCCACAGCCTCTGGGGCCAAGTGTGTGCTCACCCCGAGCCCGACGTGGATCATCGACCCCATCGACGGCACCTGCAACTTCGTGCACAGGTGAGTGTGGCTGGGAGCACCCCGACAGGGCTCTGCTTCCTCGGAGGGCCTGTCTTCAGTAGCAGGCTTTTGAAGTCGGGGTATGTGGACAGAGCTACGAGGGTTCATAGTCTCATAAAGGTTATTATCAAACCCTGAAAAACTTAAAAAGGTTTTCCATTTGTGAGACACTTACAGAATATAGGTAAGGAATTCTTGTTTTTAAAATGTTGTGTTTGAATCAAAAGGAGCTCAGTAGAGGAAAGGGAGGTGGGAGGGGAAGTGCTGGGAATGGTACTGGCTGGCTAAATTATATTATTATATTGTGTGTATGTACAGATGGGTACTACAAATCCTATCTTATGCACAACTATAGTGCACCAATAAAAAATGTGGAAAAAAAGTGTTTGCCAGGTATAGTGGTACACACTTGTAATACCAGTGCCTCAGGAGGCCAAGGCAGAGGATCTCAAATTCAAGGCCAGCCTCAGCAACTTGGCAAGACCCTGTCTCATAATAAAAATGGGAATATAGCTCAGTGTTAGAGCGCTTGCCTAGCATGTCTGAGGCCCCGGATTTAATTCCCAGTACTAAAAAAAATAAAAGTTTTATTTAATGTTGGCTGGCTTTACGAAGTGCCACTTAAAAGCAGGTGGGTAGAAGACAGAGCCACCCAGCAACTTCCAAGCTGAGGTGCAGAGAGTGGCATACGCTGACAAGATTTGAGTCACCTTCAGGACAGGAGCAGAGCTCAGGTTACAGAAAGCAGGAGATTCTGGGAGGTTGGGAGCCCAGGGGAGGTGGGGCAGGGAACAGAGCTGTAGGACTGGGGAGGTGACAGGTGCAACCTTGGGAGCTCCCTGACGTGGCGGTTGTGGGCCCCATGCTGCTTATCAGGGTCAGTACAAGTGGCCAATGACCCAATGTCATGGAGCGTGATGTGGCTTCTGCAGAGGGCCGGTCTCCCACTGGGTGGTGCCTGGAGCCCCTGGAGAGACTCCCGTTCCACAGGTTGGGTCAGTCCTGAGCTCACGGGCCACACCTGGGCTCTGGGCCACAGTTGGGCTCTGTTGGAAGCATGGGCAGAGCCAGGCCACGGGGCGCCTGGCTACTGGTGCTACCCCAGGTTGCCACCACAGTGTTTATACGTAACATCCCTCTGAACACCATGGCAAGCATGACTGCTTTCCAGATGAGGTTATCTCCAGAGCTCAGTCACCCAGACAGGGTCACCCTTTCCTGTCCATGGAGTCATGCTGCCTGGTGCCATTGGGCTGTCATATCAACTCAAGCGTGGCCCCTGCAAGAGTCCCTACCTTGGTGTCGCACCCAGCAGAGCCTCGTGAGTCCTGTCCAGCTTGTCAATCAAGGTGCTTGTGAGGGATGCAGTGGCTAAGCCCTGTCTGTAGTGAGGGGTGGACCCTGGTGGCCCCGTGCTCTCCAGGGCTTCCCTCTGCATCCTGCAGGGGGACCTGGGGCCAGAGAGGCAGCTGAAAAGAGGCTCTCATGTTGATCTGGCAATTCCAGAACCCCAGGACCGTAGCTGGAGCAGTCATAGTGACCAGGTAGAGGCCAGCATGGCCTTTTAGTCAGGCAGCAGGAGGAGTTGCTCATGTGTACCTGCAAGTTTGTACCGGCCTTTCCCTACTCCTTCTATGTCTAAGCTCTGGGAACTCCAACATCAAGGAGGGATTATCTGAGCAGCAGCAACAGAATCACCAAGTAAGACTGCAGACGCACTGTGACAGAAATGTCCCTCTACCTCTGTGGCTCACCCACCATGTACTGAGGGGGGACACAGTCAGAGTGTTACTGGTATTAAAAAGTAGCCTGTGGCCTCCTCGTGGAGGCCGCCACCTAGGGCCCATGATGTCACCTCCTGGGACCTCTGCACCTCACTGGGAATGGGGGCTGGCCTTTGGGAGGTCTCTGCTTCCCTTTAGGTCCCTGAGAACCAGAGGCTGATTATTCAAGGCCTGGTGGCTGATTGTTCAGAGGGCCGCTGGCTCGCCTGCTTCATGACAATCTCCTCCAAGGTCAGCTGTCCTACAACATGGCCAGCTAAATCCGTTTTTCTTGGCAGCAGTTAGTGAAATTGTGAGAAGTTGTTTTTAAAAACCTAAGTCCAGCCAGAGTGTGGAGAGGGCCCGTATGCAGGGGAGCCGCCTGGCCCTGGGGCTTCAGCACCTGGGGCTGGTGCTCCCGATGGGTGTGTAAACCCTCTGTTTTCTCTGTAGGTTCCCCACTGTGGCCGTCAGCATCGGGTTTGCCGTCCACCAAGAGGTACGAGGCCCCAGCCCTCATCTCCACTTCTGCAGTCCTGCCCCTTGCCGTGTGCCTCAGTCGTGACTAGTGAATCCAAGTGTGTGTGTCCAAACCTCAGGAAAGAAGCGAGCACTGACCATGGCGGTGGGTGCATTTGGGTCTCTGTATCCCTCACCGCTGCAGGTGGCCGGCCCATGCTTCCACCCAGGTCCTTTTGTGGAAGGAAATATTCTGAAGCAGATGATCCAAGCGAGTGTCTGTTTGACCCCCCAGAGCGTGTGACCTAGTCACAAGCCAAGAGGAGCTCCTATTTTTGGATAAGGTTTTGGATCTCAGTATTCTGTTACTTCTTCCTTCTCTTCCCCTGGCTACTAGTATGAGAGCGTGGCTCTTTCAGGGTTCCCAGAGACCTTCTGAACTAAGCAGTGTCAGGAGACCTGCCGGAGAGGCCTGGGTCGCACTTCAGCCTTTGGTAACCGGTTCAGGCGGCAGCTGTGGGAGCCTTCCTTTCCGGTAGTTAATTGTCTGAACAGCGCTGGGAACCAAAGCCTTTTCCTCATCTCCTGTTAGAAGGTGTTCTCAGTGTCAACACGGCTGCCCAGCTCAGAAACAGAAGTTTGCACACACCTCGGACACCTAAGTTGGAGATCCCGTGAGGATTTGAATGGGGGAATTGAACAGTTCCCGGGTTTCTCTGGTCAGTGTCATCACTGAGACCAGCGAATGTGGAGGCCTAGCAGCACCACAAGGGTTAGGGCTCATGGCCTCCAGGTTTCCAGCAGGTTGAGAGCAGGCTGCTGGAAGGAGGTCACGTCCAGGAGGATGACCAGGTCCTCTGCCCGTCTAGGTCTGCTGGTTGGTCCTGTGTCCCTGTGGACAGCAGGAGGTGCCTGCTGGTAGTGATAGCTCCTGAGAAGGGGAACCGCTCCTCCATTCCTGAGCATGCCAGGACATTTCCCTGGGTCTTGGGGCCTGCCACAGGCTGGTCTCCACCAGCACCTTTTGAGGCTTACCCTGTTAAAGCCAGTGCAGGAGGCTGGGCAGGAAGGGTCACTGGGAAGCTGCAAGCTGTCTGCAGGCACTAGCTGACTGGTCCCTTTTGCTGTAGGGTGGGACCCTTCCATGTGGTTGAATCACCCCAGTGCCAGCCAAGACCATCCTCAGGCATCTGATCTGGAGCTTTCCATGTTCCAGAGAGATGTGAATGTGGCTCACCCTAGACCGAGTGTGTGTGTATGTGTGTGTGTGTACCTGTGTGTGTGTTGGGGGGGGTGTTGACCCATATGCTGACTGCAGGCAGAGGGAGGAGACAGGTGTGTGGGGTCCCATCGCGGGCCACACTGGCCTCTCCTCCGTGCCATTTCTTGCTGGGAGGCTGTTGGTCCTCACTTTAAGGATGCTGCTGCTATTTGTGTTCTGCCCGCTCAAGGACGGGTCCCTCTGGACAGTGACTTGTCTTTCTGTGGCTGCCCTGGCCTCTGTGTTCTGTTGGCTCCATGGGAGTGTTCATGATTTTTCATGCATCAGCCACCTGGAGAGTTTCTGATGGTGTTTGATTAGAGTCACGGGTAGCGTTTTCCCCCCAGGAAAAAAGGCCTTTCTAGCCAGACCAGTGGCATGCTCCTGTAGTCCCAGCGACTCGGGAGGCTGAGGCGGCAGGGTGGCTGAGTCCAGGTTGGGCAACATAGCAAGACACTGTCTCCAGAACAAAAAAGGCCTTTGTAGAGAAAGAAGACTGCTCAATAAGCATTGGTTATTAATGCTCGGTTATGATAATTTTAATGTAGATTCATTATTTT